CTTGCCCACAAATGCCAAACTTCTGTGGGATCTGCAATGCAGAGAATCACTCCCTTTGCAGCTGCCACTGACATTCCTCTATAACAATATATAAGCCTTTTTAAGAGTTGTGAGGAATGCAAGGGCTTAAGGGTTTTTCCCCCTCATACTTGCAGGTTAATGCAACATTTCAGCCTGAAGTGCTGTTTTAAATTTCAGCAGAACTATAGCTGCACAAAAGTTGGAGCTTTCTATTTTCTTGCAAAATTGCCTATAGCAGAAATTAAAATCTGTGCTATTTCCAATACATTTGTGAAAGTGCCTATACTAGGTTAGAGCCTGAGACCTAAGATAAAGACGTCTTTTGGTTTCATTAGCTTTCAACTACACATAATGCCTGCTAACATGCACGCAAATTTCTATTACCGTTGTTCCTCAGCCTGAAATGAGATATCAGACAGTGATGTAACAAGTGTCATTTAATTGTATTTTTTTTTTTTTTAAGAGTCCACCTAACTCCTAGTGCTGGTTCCTTAAAAAAAAAAAGTGTACTGCTGATGAATAAGATACAGTTGAAAACCAAGTAGCCCTTCCACTGTCATTAGGTAGGAGAGAATTGAACTCAATGTAAACATTTGCTAAAACTACTCAGTTAACTGCAATAAAATTATTTTTAAAAAAATCTCATCCAAGTATGACTTCGCATACAAGACTGGAAACCTGAGAAAAACAAAATTCATACGTTCCAAAACTTGTCTCAGTACTTAATAGTCAGCTCTCACTGAGATTAAGATTCTAGTAAAAATGCTATATTAATTGAGATTTTCAGACCCAAATGACAGAAGCCTATGTGCCAAAAGAACTGAAACAAGTATATGGGAAATACCGGTTTTACTAATGAGATCTCTTCTTCTCATCCCTTCTTTTGGTTTCTGCCCTCTATGATGGGTATGTTAATAACTCCAGTTGGTCTCCTTAGTATTTCCACTACAAAGCAAATACAAAATTCAGCTTACAGAAGCTATCATCTCTACTAAGAATTTTCAAATCTGTCACTGGAAAGTAAAAAAATTACTGAGATGAGAGCATGATGAGTCTGATGAATACTTCCAAACGTAGTATCTGTTTTCTTCAGTTACCCATTTACTTTTAATGAGCACCTTACGAAAAACTTAGTTAACAGAAAATTAGGGAGCTTTTGGTTTCAGAGATAGCCACCAACATACCTGTGGCCCATCAAAAAACACTTTTAAAATAAGGCTTATCTGTGGTATGTTCTCACTATCGTGGGAATGGAGTATAAAAAAGGTGGCTCATCCACCTTTTCAATCCTGTTATGGACATTAATCCATGAAGCTGCAACACAATGCAAGCTTAAAAAGTTACTATCTTCCTGGAGTGAAGATTTAATTTTCTTTTGTGTGTCAAGTAATACATGCTTCACAGTTCTGTATGGCTTTTTCTGAGTGTCTCACAGGAAATTCCACACGCACACACAGACACGCTCCCCATACATTATATTCTTTTAAACAATTAGTGCAGGTAATTTATCATTAAGTTGCTACCCTACATTTCGCAATGACTGAAGCTTGAAGCTTGTTTAGCAAGATAGAAACGCTCCATTCTCTTCCGAGATAACGAAGGGTTAACTTCTCAACTGGAGAAATTCCAGTCTGACTGTCCTTGCTTCACAGTAGGATAGTGACAGATTCCAGCAAAGAATAGAAAGGAAAAATGCAGCCAAGTAAGGAAAACACTTTGGTCAAGCAAATATATTAGGCAAACCTCAATGTCAGAAGCACAAAGACTGGAATAGCAGAAGCCTGCACTGCAGAGTTAAAGCCTAGTTACTTTTACAGGAATATTTTTCCTCACATAGAAACCATCACAAAAGTCTTGGGAGGTAAAAAAAGTTGGTTGCTCAACAGCTTAAAAATGAAAAGTTAGCCTTGCATCAATGTAGTTAAAAAAAAATTCTGTACTTGAAGCTACAAAGCACTAATATTCTAAGTTACAGCATCCATACTGAAACTGAAGATAAAAGGAAACCTTGTAAATGTTATAAAATCTTACAATTAAAAGCTAGGTAATTGTCTGTCTTCACACACAATAATCAAGGAAAATATCCTACATGGACGTTATTCTTTCTGTTACTATTATCATCAAGATGTTGCTACAGTCAAGATTAATGAAGTCAGAAGAGTAAATAAAAATTATTTTGAGGACATCTTTTCTATTCTACTGCTCAAAATTAAAGATTTCTTCACAGATCACTGGTTTCATGATCATTTCTTACCACACGTTAAATAGTTCTACTGGAAAACAAAATCACTCCATAAGTTAACAGAACAACACATTCCCTAATAAAAGGATACAGATTTTATATATGCATGTTTTAAACACCAGAATTTCAGCATCAATTCCATATTAAACAGAAAATACCACCTAAACCTATCTGCTCACAAAAAACCCCGTAAAAAACAGTATTTCCTCAGAGATAAAAATATGAAGGAGCAAGGAAAAGAAAAAAACAAAACCCTGAGAAACACAAGAGCTACATTTATAGGAAGATAGTAATTTACAAAATGCCTTTTTTTTTTTTAAAATGGTTGCCTTTCAAGCTGTGCCAACACTACAATGAACATAAAAGATCTGCCTCCCTGGCAGATTTAGAAGAATAAGCAATTACTACATTAGAGAAAATAGGCTCAGAAATTTCCACCAATTGGTAATTGGCAGCAAAGCAACTCTTTATTTGCCAAACCCCACAAAGCCCTTGGGCACCAACCTCTACATATACCAACAATGAACAAACAAAGAAAAAAAAAAAAAAAATCCCTATTGCCTAAACTGGGGTCAGCCCTTCATTTTGGAGAAAAAGAAACAAACAAAAAAAACCCCAGAAGTCTCAATCCTCCTAGATAACCAGAAGGAGGCTTTTATTATAAGGGTGTTTAAAGCCATATGTATTCTGTCTGGGGCACTATATCCCATGACTGCTTAAATCACGATTACACTATGGTTTTGCAAGCAAAGCCTCCTTCCCAAAGTCTATGGAAAAGCAAAAGGCCTTTCTTCCAAATGGAAGGGAGGTCTCCACACTTATGCACTACTACTGCTGAAACAGTTTACACAGGCAGTTGCAAGGAGCAGCTATTTGCAGCCTGTTAGCAGTGAGAACTAGGGATTTCCCAATCCTGCTTGAGAACACCTACATCTACATCTACAGTCCAAGTTTGATTACTGCCTTTACTATAGAAAGGCAAGAGGAGGTACTGCAGCAACCAGAAATCTTATACTTATTTTGGAGCATTACCAATGATCGGTCATCCTCACTGGGGACTGAAGACAGCCATCATCCACCATGGGTGACAGTAATGTGCAAGCAACATATGTGAGATTTAATGTTAATTAATTTTATTGATCCCTGATGCACTACTGCATCTTCCACATCAATGCAGACCAGTGTTACTGTATTAACAATGCAATAGAAGAGGTGAATCTGAACTGAGAATCCTACTTTTTGCAGTTTCCTTTCCTGACTCTTTCTATCTACTTGCTTGAGAAGATTAAAATCATCTTATCTGAGACAGTAACAGAAGATTTCATGGGCAGAAGAGACTAATTACTGTATAATAAATATCCTCAAAGCTATTTTATTATGAATTAAATTAAACATGACTAAGTCACATTTCAGATGTTCCTAGAAAGGATTATCTCTTAACAAATCTCGTTAACAAATCTCATTAAAAATCAAATCTATTAGAAGAACTAAAGAGCACATTATAGTGCCACCAAGTACTGAAAATCAAGAGTCTCAATGATGCATTTGCCTTGCTATATTTAACACCAAAGCACAGAAGTTCTTTTCAAGTACTTAATTATAAAAAGCATATCCACAGCTCACAGAACATAACCAGAGAGACAGACCTTATATCGAGACAATCTGAGTAAGTGCACTTGTTCTGCAATACATTTGCTAGCAACTTTCAACACAAAAAGGTGCTTTTTAAGTAGTCTATAGGATTACAACCATTATAAAAAGCTTGACAATAAAAATTCCCACATCTGTTTGAACACAATTGAAACTTTCACAAGTAGTTCATGCAAATATATAGGTATGCAGCTGTGCAAAAACACCTGTTGAATGAGCAAGGATCCGAATATTTAGTCAACAATACAATAGTCCAGGTACCTGATACTGAATGTGATCTACTTTGCAGCCTGTGTTGCTCCATGTTACCAAAGTCACAATGCTGTCAAAGTTCCACGTCAGTGTCAAATAAAAGTATCAAGTATCAAAATCCTGTTCCATGAAGGGCTGAGTCATTAACCTGACTCAGCAAATGTGTTCCTGACACTTTTACCTGGTGCAGTACAACATTGTGGGCCACTCCTTTGTATTTCTGAGTGAGAATAAAAGACCTACTGCATCATTAATCCTGGCAGCATGTTTCTGCAGTGGTAAAACTAAAAGCAAAAGCAATTTGCAAAGATATGACCATCCCCCCAGAATTATTCATTTCAGATAAAATTCTTGACCTTAGATCATGTCCAGAAAGACATTTCAGTCCTTTTGTTAGTTAAATAGCAATCTGTGGAAGGAGGCAGCCATTTTTTTCTTATACCACTCAGCACTCTGTAGTAGTTTGAAAACATGACTCTGCTTCTGAAAACACATATGTATTTTAATAAGTTTGCTTTCAAATGTTTCAAATAAACTGTATTACTTAATTAATAGACACTTTTTTAGCAATGCAACAGAGTTAGTACACGAAAAAGATTTTTTTTTTTTTTTACTTAGAATGTAGAGTGGTCAACTTCTTTTGCATTATATACAATTTTAATTTTTTTGTAGATATTAATATTTTAATACAAATTTTAAAAGCTGTCATTTATTAGCCTGTCCTTATTCAGAAGCAGGTTAAAGCAGATACAGTAACAAGAATTTAAGGTAAGAAAACAAAGAAGCTGAGATTAACTCATAATTATTACACGGTCACAGTAAATTATTCTCCTACCTGCTTTCCATCCAGCGTACAAAGTCTCTTGACTACACCCGAATCTAACTTAATGGCTTCTGTGATGTCAGTCAAGACCTGTTCGAAGGAGTGAGCAGTCTTCTTATTGAGCAGAATTCTCACAGCTTTCCGTGGTTTTACTCCACTCCTAATAACAGTCACTAATTTGGGTTTAATGAAATCTTTACTCTCCTTCACTTCACTCTTTGTGGATGTCAAAGATGTCAAGGATCGAGTGGACCCAGTCCTTATGTTCACACACCAGTTTGGATTGACATTCTTGGTGTAATCAACTTTGCGATACGGTTCATTGGATGCACATACATAACTTTCACCTGAAAAGAAGATGACATTTTCATAATTTAAGGGGTTTTGCAACTATTTTTTGTCAATTTTAAAAAAATGACAGATTTTTTCAGAAGGAGTGATTTTCCTGTATGTCAACTGCAGGCCATTTTAAATGGAGGACTGTAAGTTATCAGAGCTTTCCACCCAAACAATACTCTCATAGAATGGTTTCAACAGGTTTCAAAACACCTCTGGTTAAGAAATTGAAAAAAAAAAAACAAAAAAAACAAAAACAAAAAACCCCACAAACAGTAAAGGGTAATGACGGGGTTGAAGATATTTCCCATTTCTTTTGGATCATAAGTTCTGACTGCAGAGTCATTTTGCAAGTGCTTAAATTACTTGAGCTCACAATACATGACATTAAGAGCATTCTCCTACAGCAAATATCCAGGTCCTTCCCTATATATTCCTCAAGTATATACTTCAAGATGTGTACACACATACCTATGTTTAATAATGAATTATTTTAAAAGGAGCAAGTTTTAACAAATTAAAATTCAAGCATCTCAAGATCCTTGCCTTGAAGGACACATTAATTTACCACGAGTTATTGCCTTTCTACCAAGGATACACTGTTGAAACATATTCACTTCAACATTTTTTAGACCAACAAACACTTGTTGAGGCCACAAATGAGACTTTGAGACTACAGGAATATGAAAGGACATCTACACTTCCCCATTTTCATTTCTTTTCCTAATTCAAAGCCTGCACTGCTGATATCCCCTGAAGTCATGGAAGGGAGGTCAGAGGACAAAAAATGTTGTCACAGGCTAGTAATATGCACCTTTACATCAAATTATTTAAAGTGGCACCAGCTATGATGCAGACCTAAGGAATTTCTTACTTTTCTCCATTCCTTGACATAATGCAAGGCTGGACAGTAACTGGCTTTTTTTTTTTTTTTTAGAAGAGGACAGTTTTCCCCGTCAAACTGCTGTTTGTTGTTTACCACAACTCTCTTAATGTCTGACAGCAATATTCAAGATGCAACTATGACAAAGGACATCTTTAACTCTGGGTTATTTCTGTAATCCACATCCTTGGGATCTCAGAAAATGACATCCAAAGACTTTCTCGAAGAGGCAGGGTATTGCCAGAAGGATGAAAGGGAAGCATTCCAAACTGACGGAACACACCATTCCTCCAGGCAGAAGAGCTATCTTAAAAAGCTTAGCCTGTTCTAAGATTAAAGCTACATGCTCAAGGTCACTAGTGGAACAAACCAAACTCACCCCCTATATACAAAGCAAGAGGAGTAAAGAGTACACATACATCTATTGGACAGTATTGCACAAGTTACAAAACGTTTACCTATGTTTAGATACACACTAGAAAACGTTTAAACGATACTTTTACTTTCTGAACTCTGGTTTGGAGAGCTGATTTAGCTTAGAAGTTGTATAGCTTATTCTGAAAGTAGTTTACTATCTTGCTTTTAAGCCCCTGAAGAATTACTGTGATCTGAAAAACTTTTTCATGTTTCTTTTCCCATACCAATTATACTTCTTTCTAATTTATCTTGTATTTAGACCTTCTTGAAAGTTTACTTACTGTATTTGAAAGAAAACAGATTATAATTAAGTCAAGTTAATAATGATTTTGTTTGGCAAAGTTTGGCAGCCAGTTCTGCCTCCACAAACATCACTGGGACTGTACTCCACTGAGGTACAAAGAAACAATTTGGTGTGGGGTTTTATGGATGCCACAGCTTTGCCTGTATTCTTCCTCTTCACTCACCCCCACCATTCCTCCTCGTATTCACAGACCAAGTGGTGCACAAAACAGAAACCAATACAGACAAAGCCAGACACCTCTTTTTTCCCCAAAAAATCAGCAAAGAAAAATGAGCTGTTTTCAGCCCATAAACTCCTTGAATGGGATTTCTACACAGCTGCATGCACACTAGCACTAATCTACAAGTAGGGGGGAAAAAACCCCACACAGCTTAGGAAGAACTGTGGTGGCCCAGAAGCTTACGCTGCCCCAGAACTACATGCTAAGTTGCAACAAGTCTCCATGCAATCCGATTTAAATAGACCTGGTTTGAGCAAGACATTGGATGAAATGACCTCAGAAGGTCCCTTCCAAACTAAATTATCCTATGATTCTAAATAAGTGGACAGTTCTCTTTCAACAGCTGTTTTCAGAGACCTTTCACTCATCCATCCTGTTATTGTGAAATAGCATGAGGTATTCAACTTTTGTTACAGCACCTCAGTTGCAACACAAAGCAAAGGCTTCCTCCTCTACATCTTTTAATCCTAGATTCAAAGGACTATGCTTATTTTCTGAACACTTTCTAATAAGCCATGAAGCTGACTATCTCTAAATACAGTGCTGCCAAATAAGAAGCATCTCAAAGCAGCTGGTAGTTCTAATTCATACCAATAGACTTCCTAATATTATAACTGCTGATCATTTTGTTATTCTCCCCTCTACAACTAGTTTACTCTGTGACATAGAACCCTGGCATGGTTTAACCCCAGCCGGCAACTAAGCACCACACAGCTGCTTGCTCACTCCCCCCACAATGGGATGGGGGAGAGAAAAATCAACAAAACCCTTTAGGGCAGCAGAAATTGTCCCGTTATAAAATTTTCAGTCAGTATTAATCCAAAAGGATCTTTATTTCTTTAAAATAGCAGTGTAAAACTCTTTGCCTTCTACTAGTTCCCTTGCTTGATGCATGAATAAAATAATTTCTTTATTATCTGAATAGGCTGCAATACCTGTTTACTACAGATTTCTTCTTATTATTTCTTCTCCTTTAAGCAGAGGCCTTAGTTTTCTTTTTCTGATGAAAAAAATAGGAAGTGCTTTCAACTTAAAACAATGTAATACCTTAAAAGAATGAACTTAAAATAACTTGTTTCAACTGCATTTAGCCAAGCCTTAAGTTGAAGCACAAACTATTTTAGCTTTTCAGAATAATATTTAAAAAAAAAAAAGTATCTGGCAAAACTGATTGCAAAATTTCCTACAGTTGGAGATACAGAAATGACTAATTACTTGAGAACTGTAGTATATTACAGATTGTTTAGTAAGTTTTTTTAAATTCCATGCCTGCTTTCCTATACCAGTCAAATAAACTAAACTTAGTAACACAGGTTTTACATGGAAAACAGATTTTACTACTACACCTGCGAGGCAGGCACATATGGCAGGATTAGAGCAAGGACTTAAGTGAGAAAACACATGCACTGAGTAATTTGCTTGGTTCATGACTTAAACGATAAAGGATGAAGTTTTTACTCTATTGAGATTACTACTTAAACTTCTAATGATTTGACCACAGCCAAGACTTCACCCACAATTTCTAAGTTCTATTGAGAACCTTGCAAAATACCAAAAAAACCCCGCTAGAAACAGAATATAATTAGGAAACCAATTACTGCTTTCTGCATAAAGAATGATTTTCTAGGAATGACTTGAACATTGAGTTGTTTGGTTTAACAGGGGTATACGATTGATTATTCAACAGAAGAAAATATTTAAGGAAGAAAAAAAAATGGCAGGGGTAAGTTAAATCATACCTATAAAGCTCACTACAGGAAACTTTCCTACAGAATGGTGTATTCAAAAAGCATGCCTAAGAAAACACCACCCCTTGGTGAGCAGGCATTAATTTTTGAACACTGTGCTATTGTTTAAATTGTTATTTTAGCCATCCTCTGAAGTAGAAAATGCATTTATATATGTCTGTTTAGAAGAAACCGATTCATTTGTAAAAGTATTATCTTTCTTTTATGTTATATTTTTCAGGTAAAAACCTGAGAGTGTAATGTTATATATAACATTTGCTCACAGCTTTAACATATGACCCGATTTTAAATCTGCTTGGGATTAATTAATGTATACATACACACTTCTGATAATCTCCACACTCTCCCAGAAAACCAATATTTGTAAAATGTAACATACAGCACTTCATTTTTGGGGGGTTTAAACCAGTCAAATTGATTTCAAACACAGTTAAAGTAATAGATAACTTTACAGTTAAAATCACACACATAAATGAATTTGGCTGTACTGCCTTGAATGAGATTTTTCATATCTAACCTAAATACATATCATCTCAATTACTAAGAAAATATTTTCTGAGACTTCAGTGGCATTTTGATCAGGCTGTAGCTTTTTTTTGTCGTTTGTACATCTACCAGCCCTAGAAAGTTGAAGCAACTCCACAAATAGGCATAAACAATACTTCAAATATTTACATTGCTGACTTGATATGGTCAATTTTATGGTTTGAAGGCCCACTTTCCATTTATAGTCTTGAAAGATTTTAAAGCTAATGCTTACTAGCCTTAACTGGCATGTAGTCACAGCAGTTACATTACTGGAAATAAATACCATGTCTTTAGCTTACAACACTAGCATTAACATGAATCAGCTCTGTAGTTTTTAGACCAGATCATGAAGTTAGTCACTAATATGGCATTGAGATTTGCAGGTAAAGAAGTAAACTATAGACTAATGAAGTAGAAAGATCTATTAAGCAACACTTTCTTCTTTTTTTAAATGCAGAAAAAACCGCAAGGATTACAGACGTAGGTTACAGCTGGGATTCTGAACCCAGCCAAACTATTCTACAGCAGAAAGCTTAATCAGGCTGCAGAGCAGTTTTGGCAGAAGTATGAAACCTCCTTATAAGTTGGCATTATAATTTCAACAGAGCATATGTGCCATCCATCCGATGCTTCATGACAGTACCCAGAGCAATCTAAAAGTGTCAATTCTTCCATGAAGAAATTCTGCTACCACCAAAAATTCCTCAAATGGGGCATATGCTCACTTAAAAAGAGTAACATCTGCTGATATTTTGGGTCACAATATAATCAACAAATGGAGTAAGTTTACTTCTGATTCTCTATGTCTTATTAACATCAGAAAAACAACTAGAAGACATGAAACATTGCCTATTAACAAGGAAACATTACCTGCCTCTAAATAATTTACCTGTACTGCATTAATAACCATC